TTCAGATTGTAGTGAACTCAAGGGGAATTACAGCCTTCCACAAATTCCTGTTCAGCAGTATTTTTTTGTTCTAGCAGCAGTTAGTTCAGCTTTAAAGCACCTCCTGAGGGCTTTGTGCTACCTGTGATGTCTTTATGAGAACTCACCTGGAAGAGGTGTAGCCGAAATGAAGCTCCACAGTGCACTGGTACAGCATGTCTTCAAAAGCACACACCGCTTTTTGATGAGCATGTCTTTTACTGTGACTGGCAACTGTTGTATACAGTCACGATTACGTTTAGTCGTAGACTTGGCAGTGCTGGGTTAACGGTTGGACTCGGTGATCTTAAAGGTCTTTTCCAACCTAAACGATTCTATGATTCTGTGATTCTACATGGTCAAAGTGTCTTCCTAATTATGGTCCTACAAGACCTGTACATATTCATATATTGTGAGTTGCTCCCACTGAAATCACGAGGATTCCTCAAAATAGGTGAATTTAAGCAAAATGGACAATATTGTGGAATTGGAACATATTTGTGGGAACTGTAATATATCTGATCCAGAATAAATTGCTTCAAGATAATTGTAAATTTCAATTCCTATAGCAAACAGCCTTTGGTGGCTTCACGAAATACCGGTTTCTTCAGAGTCTTCTCACACTGGTGATCTAAAAGCTGTTATTTCTGATAACATTAAAGTTGGAAGTATTCACATCTTGTGTTGTTGATATCACTGCACATTACAGGGTGATGATCCAGAGGATACACCCTGGAACTTCACATGCCAAGATGGAGAAAATCAATCTCTGTTAATAAGAAAAGGCAGGCTCAGTGGCGCAGAAAATCACTACTCTGGAGCCTTAAAGAGGCTCCTTCAAAAATTCATGATTATAGAATGGAATCCTGGGCTACATTATAGTCCTGAAAGAAATCAGGATATGGAGAAAAAAAAATCCAATTTTCATTAGGTGGAGAAAATAAAGAATAAATCCCATAAGCAAAGTCATTGATCACATGGAACATAATTATATGCTCAATAAGTCAGAACATTTTCCAAGTTTCCCAAGTACCCAATACTTTTCCCCAAAACTTTTCAAAGTTAATTTTTCTTTTCTTGTTTGTTTATCCATGCCCCTAGCACTAAATCCATCTGAATAACATTTCTGATTGTTCTGGTCAACTGCTGTAGGGTAGCTGCAGGACATTCAACCTATAGTGAGTGATATACAAACACTGAACAAACTAACTCAGTATTGACCTAATGACTTAAACTTACTACTCCATAAAGTATTTGGTGATGTCCCCTGCTGTTGGTATCCATGATGCAAATACAGTTTGCAATAAATAGCAGAGAACAAACGTCTTTGCCCTCCTTATGTGCACTGTGCCTACAGCCACCCTGACGAGAGGCCTCTATAATACGACAGAAACTTGAACACAATAAATACCTTTCTTAAAAGCAGATTTCCCATTTTCTGTCTATGGGAAGTCTGAATTCCTGCATCATAATAATTTGGGGCCCAGAATAATTAATATTCAGTCCTGCATTATAGGTGGGTGTGATGGCTGATAATTTAGATGGTCTTTGGCTTGAAACATGGCTTTTGCACAATTAGAGCAGGAAGAATTCCAGCTTCACTTTTACAGTATTTTAGCTTTCAGCCTTGGAATACCTGTAATGCAGTATTTGTATGGGAGCCACTGAATTATTTTAGATATAATCTAGTCAGCTGCCTGGAAATACAGCCACTCTAAGTGTATGCTACAAGGCTTTTTTACCATATTATCATACACCAAATTATTCTTTTTTAATTATTTTTCACATATTTAATGCAGCTGCAGATCTATTCATGAAGGAACATTTCAGTAGTTCAGCTGATCAGCTCAAAACCAAGAAGAAGCTCCTGACAGTTCATCTTCTTGCTTGGCTGAGTCATGACTACAGAGAATCCAGCACTTTATTTATTCATTCATTCATACATTCATTCATTCATTGTTAGGGTGCATGTGTGAGGGGCTTGGGTGAGTGCAGTTTACTGTCGTGTACGTGCCATCTTCCCAGACTTCTGAATTAAGCTGAGATTGAAATACTATTTCACACAAATACTTATTTTTTCATCTGGTTTGTGTAACAATATATTCATAACATTGCACTTCTCAGAACTCATTCGAATTATTTTCATTGCAAAGATGGACAAAGAGGACAGCTGAAAGACAGGAAAAAACTGGCTTTAGAATTCAATACTTATTTATAAATTTTCCATAGGATTGACTATATGAGCTAGAAAAGATCAGTTTTAATTGGGGCACTCAGCCCTCTCCCAAATTTACCTTGCCCTTCCTCAGTACCTTATTAAAGAATTTGCCAGCAAAGACAACATAATGGCCAATTTGCACTGTATTTTGAACTGATGTGCTGATAGAAGTCCTGTCCATACCCAGCTGGGTTGGCACGCGGGCTTGCCAAGCTCAGAAAAGTACATTTAATTGTAATGCCCTCAAATCAGGAGCACATTTGCTAGCATTCTTCATTCAGAGCTTCTCTCTGCATTTCTCCTCCCCAGCTTTTTTTTTAAGGAGTAGGAAAGACACATGTTGGATTAAACTAAAGGCAAGTGATGGGTGGGAACAACCTCTTGCAAAAGGTAAGCAGCGGCTTAGTATTCAGGAGCAAGCAGAGCACTTCAGCTTCAGCAAACAGCTCACGTGGGATCTACTTTTATTTGGCAAGGAGGATGCCTTTCCCACTGTGCAGCACCTTTCTGAAGCTGCAGCCAAGGAATTAAGCAGATGTCAGTCAAGACAAAGAGGCACAATTCTGTGCCAAGCCAGTCAGGTGAATGAGGTGGTCTGCTTTAGTGCTGGAAAAATGGGGAGGGAATTTGTCACGGTAACTGAGCACGTTACAGAGAGGTGGTTTTGTTTCCGCTGTTTGTCATGAGAAATCACCACCATGGTAGTTATTGCTGAACTGCAGGATGCTCCAGGGAGGGGATTACTGTCTGGGATGCTCATGGGGGATGGCTGTCAGGCTGGTGTGCACCATCAGGCCGGTGTCTGGCTGTACGTGGGCTCAACCGCAAACTCACTTACAGCAAGCAGCGCAGCGCTTCCACTGCGGCTTGTTACCACGAGCCTCACAGCCAAGGGAAAAATCAGGGGTGAGGGAGTTTTTTAGTGTCTTTTCTTCTGTCTCCCCACTGTTTCTGTCCCTCCATTTCAAGGGACTCTGCGGGCTGTTGGCTCCTGCTGCTCAGAGCGGGGTTAACTTGCTTCCTAAGAGAGCCAGAGTAAATGTTCCAGTTCTGTTTGCAATCTGACCCTCTGCTGCTGTGTACAAGCAGGCCTTTTGTACCCGAAACAGCTCCAAATTACTGTACATAAACCATAATCTTCCAGCGGGAGCACTGTAGTTTTCCATTTTGCTGCTAATTGGATGATACACTTGCAATAGTCTCTGTTAACATGGCTAGCACTGGGCAGGGTAGAGTGATGGAAGGCTTGTATTTAGAAATCTTGCAAAAATGCAGTGACTGTCCCCATTTGACAGCAATTGAAACCAATCGTCAATTAACTAAATAACGGCCAATTAGCTTGAAGAAAAAAGAAGAAAATTGCTTACTTCACATTCTTTGTTGAAGCAAATGCCAGTCAGAGGATGGGAGGTTTTCTCTTTCTCCTATGAGAAGACAAAATGGGAAAAGATGTGCAGAAAATGCACAGTGGTTTGTTTTTTTAAATACCATCTTTTTCTCACACAAGAATATTTGAGAAACTAGATATGAACATCTTAAGCTCCTGAGACATTTAATTTCCTTTGATTTTTTTTTAATCAAAATTACAATCATATGCAAGCACAATTTTTCCTCCTTTCTTTTCATGCCACTGTAGGATACTTTAAGCACAAGGGCAGCTCCACTGAAGCTGGCTGCCTTCACAAGGAAGGACCAGCAAACAAGAGGCTGCTGTGTGGTGCGGTGACAGGCAGGATTGTGATATTAAGATTTGCATCACCAGACCAAGCCCTTCGTCTTTCATATTTTCTGGACTTTTAGGGGTCCGTAGGTGAGACATTGTCAGAACTTTTAATGTTAAAAAACCTGAAGCACCCAGGGGCATTAGGAAGCAGCTGAGTGGTGCTGGCAGGACTGGCATTTTGGTCTTAGATCCCTCTAAGACCCATGTTTCATGTCTGTATCCTTTTTTGAATCTGGGCAATAGTGCCAAAAGGTATTGATTGAGTCAAGACCGTTGCACAGTGGAAGCCAGTCACACCACTGGCAGGAAGAAAAAGTCTTTCTTCTGAATTATTGCTCTTCATTTTAACTGTTAGCCCAATACCATCTCCCCAAAAGAAGCAGTGCAATTCAACGTGAAGACTAAAGCTTGATCCTACAGGCTTTCAGCTGTGGTACCGTTTAACTCTTGCCAGTCCCAGAGCAGAGGCCAATGTCTGCAGTGGGTCTCCGACAACTGGTTTCACTGGATGATATGCTGGGCAGGGAAAGAGCATAGATGAGGCCAAAGAGGCAGCTGCTACAAGCTAGCTTAATATTGCTGCATTAGTAAGAAGCAACCATTTACTCATGGCATCTTGGCTTTGAATTTTTATTGCACTTTCCTCAAAGGCAGTTAAGGCCAGCAGTTAATGCGCAAAGGCATTACGTGGCCTTGCTTCTCGCCTGTGGGGCTGGACCACAGCTGGTCCCCTGAGGTTGACATCAGGGCTGTGTCTGCCTAATATCCATTAGTTGCATCAATCAATAATTCTTCACTTAGACTTTTTACTCGTTCAAAAAGATTTTATTATGCTACTTTGAGCTGCTCACAGCGTCATTTCACGGGTTTCAAATTGTGTTACTCTTTTGTTAATACTTTAGGGCCTGTGTTTCATAATTGGATAGTGGAGGGTGAGAGGTATGTCTTCTAACCATCAGGAAAGCAATGAATATTGGATGCTTTTTCATTAACTGATATGAGATTCAGCACTGCACATATTGATCTGTTGCTTTCTTACAGGAACATTTTACACCTGAATGCAAGTTCAAAGAATCAGTATTTGAAAACTACTACGTGACGTATTCTTCAATGATCTACAGACAGCAACAGTCTGGCCGGGGTTGGTATTTGGGTCTTAACAAAGAAGGAGAAATAATGAAAGGAAACCACGTGAAGAAAAATAAACCTGCAGCACACTTTCTTCCAAAACCATTAAAAGGTAATTGCTTGGGTTTGCTCCATCTATCTGAACTGACATTATCTTATGTTAGAGATGTTTAATTGCTGCGCATACATATTTGAAGGGTTCAGCTACTTACAGAACAGGTGTATAATGTTCTGTAACACACTGTTAATGTAACCAGAGCTGCATTTCTTTAGGTTTCTCTACGTTACCTCTGCATTTCTCTGATCTAACCAAATACGTGTGTTAGTTTCTTTGTGCCCAAAGTCCACACTGTCTCCGTTACAGATAACGAAGGCTCTACCTGGAATGGCTCAAACATCTGCTGACAGGCCGTCAGTGGCTTGCTGTATAGCTTGTCAGTCTGTGATTTATGTTACAGGATGTTTGTTTGTCTATTTTTGCCTGAGATAAAGCTGTAATGTGCAGTGCTTATTGAACCACAATTAAAGTGGCATCAGCGTATGACATTAAAGGTAATAATGCATGTGGCATATATATACCGCTGTGTATTAAAACCAGGAGGTACAGTCATCCCAGTTAACTGAAGGATCTGAATCAGGACTGTGGTCAGACTTGGCTCCCTCTTTGGTCAATGCAGAGAGGGAGATCTCAGTTGATGTATGGAGGCGCTGCTTTTCTCCAAAAGAACTAGCTTCCATATGCTCCTTCCTTAAGAGGAATGAAGCCTTCTACTTCTGGGTTATGCTCTTAGGTAGCCTTTTAAGGCAGTGTCATTTTGAAATCAGAGAGGATATTTCAAAGGTGCATGGCCCTGGGTGGATGCCGGACTAGTTTGGCAGTCTACATTTAGGACTAGCTCTTAGGCAACTGATATCGAGGTTGATCCTCACTTCTAATGTGTGTGAAAACAAAGCAAACAGAAGACTGAAAATCCATTTTTGCACCTATCTGCTTAGGCTATGTGTGCTAGTAACAGGTCAATCACAGCTGTTGACAGTGCCGCTTCACCATTAATAAGGAAATGTTGATTTACATCAGCTTGGGTCTATCCTTCAGACTTTTGTAAATGCAGTGGGCAGGAGGGTGATTTAACTGGGAGAGGCAGGGAGCTGTGGTTTTTCCCTTCTCTAAAATGTCATTCCCTTGAAACGGACATCAGAGGTTCTTGGGGAGTGTTTGGAATGGAAGAGGTCTCCTTCCTACGTTTCTTTCATTCGCTCCTTACATTGCATATTGGTGAATGACAAATCCCAACGTTTCACAGCCGGACTTTGCACCAACAGACTGAGTAGCTCGTAATGTGTGCTGACGTGCTGCCTCTCTTTTGCTTTGCAGTGGCCATGTACAAAGAGCCTTCTCTCCACGATCTCACAGAGTTCTCAAGATCTGGAAGTGGGACCCCAACAAAGAGCAGAAGTGTTTCAGGAGTGCTAAATGGGGGTAAATCCATGAGCCAAAACGAGTCAACGTAGCCAGGTTCAGGCAAGCCAAGTGCTCTCTAAACAGAACCTTACCTCTGGATGCAGTTGAATTCTTACTAGCAGTCTCTCATCCAAACGTTCAATTGCCCAGGACAAGCCACCGAACTTGCATAGGTCACTCGTTTATCAGCCATTAGATCTACTGGTTGTCAAAGGATATACCCCAATAATGTAGAATATGCTTGTGCATATCACAAGGCACTTGGATAGCCAGCAAACATAACTGCGGAATAAATCTCGGAGAAGAAATGTCCAGCTCTTTCTCTCTCTCTCTTCTTCTCTCTCTCTTTCTCTCTCTCTCCTATGCTTTGTGGAATACGAAACAAAAACATTTCACAGCATTCACTGCTGATAAGAATTTGCTTTCCAACTCAGAAAAAGACCACTTTTGCTCTTCAAAGGAAATTTTAATGCTTGTATGTTTTATAGGGGCAAACAAAAAACAAATACGTAAACTCTGTTGTTTCCTTGGCTTACCGTTTTATATCTAAGGCTTGATAAAAAAATGTCCTTTAATTTGGAATAGTGCAACTTTTTGATTTCTGAACTCCAATGGGTCTTTAAAGCTATGTCTTTAAAAAAAATAATTAAAAATTCAGGGTTGGAACTGAGAGTTGGTGTCTCAGGCTCAAGCAAACAGTGTTCTTGTGGTTTTAAACACAATGAAATATAAATTTTTATAGATTTGTAGTTTCTGGTAAAGTTCTTGTGCTAACCCCAGTCTGTAGGAATCGAGTTGTTTTGTTATCCCAAGTGGAAGTTAACAGAAAGGGATAAAATTATCCTCCAGTGTAGATTTCTCTTAATTCCATTTTGTGTGTCATGTTAAACTATTGTTGTGGCTTCTTTTCTAAAGACAGAAACTGTGGAATTAAGGTGACTTAATTTTTTTATAAGAAACGTCTTATTTGTAAAAGTCCTTCTTTCACTGTAACGGGCACGTGAATATTGTGTAGGAGGAAGCGTTAGGACAGGTTACCCCTAAACAACATATACTTATACATGCTATTGGAAACAATTGTTTAAAAAATGTAGTTAGGTTTCCATTTAGGTCATCATGTCTGTTGCATGGGAGAAAGTTGGAATATTGGCATAGAGTTGCATGATGTGTAAGATTTTGTGCATTAATCATTGTTGGATTCTGTGCTCCAAAACTGACATAGTTCTGTACAGGCAGCTTTCTGCCTTGTACAAACGAGTTGTTTATTATTTGTTGTATACACAACCATGCACTGAATAAACTATTTATATTAAGATGTACTTTTTAAAAAAGCTTGTTTGATTATGTGATGTACATCCGTGATTAATTTCAAGGGAAAGGGTTGGCAGTTAAATTATAAAGTTATAAAAGATGCTGTAATTAATGTTCAAAGTCTTTCCGTGTAATGGGTTATTCCCCTGTAATGCCATACACCATACAAATGAGAACATGTTCTTTCTTTTGGATATTGTTAGAACTGGTCTTACATGCCCAGCCGAGATACTCAAAACATAGTGACGATTAAGTGCCACAAAGTCTTGGTAACGGCCCCTCTGCCGTGCGCTGCTGGAGCCCCAGTGAATTGCACTCCTCTGCTTTGAGCTTCTCCAGCTTCTCCGTGCGTGTCTGCCCTCCCCGTTAAGACTTTCCTTAGTGCAGCCACGTAGCGCTACCTCGCAGCACACCTCCCCAGAGCCCTCGGTACGGGGGGTCCCAAAGAGAGCCGGTAAGTCAAGCCCTGCTTGTGCCAGGGTGGCACCTCGAGGATGCTCGGCGTTTGCTGTGCATCACTGCAGCTACGCTTGAGGGGCCGGCTTTATCTGGTCTCGAGGAAAAAGGCTCCCATGCCTCCTGCCTTTGTGCACGTGCTCTGGAGAGAAAACGTCCCTCTCTGCTGCCTTTTCTCTCTGAAAACATCAGTGAGAACTTTTCTCATCTACAACATCTAGGCAGCTCTGACAGGTGAGCTTCACTCATCAAGGTGGTTCAAGAAGTCCTAGGAGCAACAAGTTTTCATCATGGGTGGCTGAAGAACCAGTTCTGGAAGGGAATAATGGAAGTGGAGGCAAAAGCTACCTATAAATGTTAGCCTGAAATTAAAATCAGGTATTCTGCTGTCTGTTCTGCATGCCTCCCACTTGACCAAGCTGGAATTAGACTTCAGACCAGGCTGAGACAGTGCGGCTTTTTTAAGGTTGGAGCTGAGAGAGGAGGGAAGGAGACTGTGTTTCAGATCGAACCTCCAGATTTGTTGTTTTGTGGCAAATAGTAGGCAAAGAGTTCTGACTTGCTGAGCTCCCATATTGGAGCAGGGTGTTTCCCTCCCCAAATACCACCACCTTGCTGGCCTTCAGAGGGCCTGGGGGTCCTCAGCTTGCCCCTTTCCAAAGGGTGAAGAAGGTGAGAGCATAACCAATGCCATAGAAATCCTTAAAAATTGAAGATGTGGCCGTGATTGCTCCAGAGGTTTTGATAACTCAGCGGGTCTGGAGCATCTGTTCCCTTCAGCTAAGTGTGGTATGCCCTTGTGGAACGTTTCTCTTAACCCTCCCAACCCCAAACATCAAACTTACCAAGGTACACGTTCCAAAAAGGAGTCCAAGTGTCTTAGGAACATAAAACCTGATTAAAAATAGATATACGTGTGGCAAAGCTAGTTCAATGCCAAACGTTCACTATCCTAAAGATAACTGGAGGTCTGCTGCTTTGCTTTATAGCTGCAGTCTTACTGTTATTCCCCATCCCCAGTCCCTCCAACCTTGAAGGTCATCTGCAGCAAAAGAAAAATGCTCATCTCACAAATTGTCCTTCTGAGGTCCGCAGTCTGACCCATCTTTCGTATTGACGTTGGCGGCAGCTGTGAGCATTCACTGCCAAGTCCTTAGTTTCAAAGGTTTCTAATATACCAAGCTAACAAAGGCCACTCTTGGATTGAGATGAGAAGAGAGATATGGTGATAGATGAGCCCTAAACAGCTGCTTCTGATAATTATGTTAAATTTCTGTTCCAACAATAGATTTTCCATCAGATTATTGTGGACTGAAAGGGCATTACTCCTGATGGAGTCCTGATAGTAGACAAAAGCTCATGTACACTATGAGCAAGGTGGGGGATTATGCCCAGGGTTTTCCATGTAGTCTCTGGAGCCATAGACTGGGATTTAATAAGGAGAAATAAAGTTAAACATGCCTTTGCAGCAGTGAGGTGAGGGTGATATTCTGACCCAGCCAGCAAAGTCTCTTGGGTAGACAAGAACGTGGCTTCAGCACAGGACCAGATTAAGGAGCCAGACTCCAGAGTATTTCTTTATCCTTCAGCACCCGTAAATTAGAAAGTTAAGCAGATGACTCCTGTATAATATGTTCCTTAAAGAAATCTGCTAGATGTTGGGAAGATGTCCGTATTGATGGTTGTCTATCAAAAGAAAACTTATAGCCGCTGGCCAACCCCCTTTGCTCTGCCACATGTACAGTGGCAGAGTACAGTAAGATGCACATCTGGAATAAGGACAAAGCCCAGGGGCTGGTATGAAACCAAGCTGGCTGTGAGCCACTAACCATCTGCAGAAGGCTTGGTCTCAGGCTCTTCTGTCATTGCCAGTGTGATGGCTGATGCCTTTCATCTGCCGTTTCTCTTGTCCCTGCCTCTCCAGCGATGCTGCCCACGCTCCGCAGCATACCACGGGCCTGGAATTGGCTCCGGAGGTGCAAAACCGCCACAGCAGCTTTCTGATGCACCTGGGCTTCGCTTGGCCTTACGAAAGGCTGACAAATACTACCTGCCAACCCAAAAGAAAACAGGTCACCCATGAAATTGGGAGGAATACTGCTAGGAGCACAACTATTATGAGGCAAAATTGCTGCCTTTTTGTGATCCACCTGTCAGAGCTGCTTTCGTGGAGGTCTCTGCAGGGGACTCAGGCATCGCCTGCTTAGCCTGGTTTTGGGGTGAGGGGTGGGGGGAAGAGCTCATCTCTGTATCACAGAGATCTTTCTTTTTTCTTTTTCTTTTTTTTCTTTTAATTTACCTCATGCTACCTCATAGCATGGTTGTATCTCCGTAGCCACTTGCTCAGCCATGTTCATCGCTGGCACGATGGAAGACAATTCCCTACTTGGGGAAAATAGCTCCAAGTTATCCCAGGGAAGAACAGTGCCCCTTCTGCAGCACCGTCTGGTGTCCCCACCACTGGTTTCCAGCCCACGGGCCAGGTTTTCCAGTGGGATAAAGACGGTGTAACGAGCTCAGGGATGCTGTGGTACGCCAGGCCTCTCCCCAGCTGGGCACCAGCACGAGAGCCAGGTCTGGCAGAGCTCTGCTGTGTCTTGAGTATCTCTGCATGGAGACCAGAGCCAGCTCTAACGGGTTTAAATGTCTCCCTGACATATCCATGACCAGGACACTTTTGCAGGACAGAATCTGTACGTAACAACCTCCTATCTTCTAATAAATAATTCTCTCTAAAACAGACTCCCTCTTGTCTAGGCTCTGATTTTTATTACTGCAGATATTCAAGGGCTCTCCACCCCGCCACTGGTGCACTACACCATTGCTTAGCTTTCCTTAGGATATAGACCCTTCTGTATTAACATTGTCCTTTTCCTATGTCTTCCTGAACCAGAGAGGGGCAACTTGAGTGGTCAAGCCAAGACCATCACAGCTGGATCCTTCAGTTTGCTGTAGCCTCAACATGGTCCATGGAAGACACAGAAAGTGGGATGCATTTTACTGGCTCAGGGAATGGCAACTCTACATGTTGGAGCTCAGTTTTCTACAGGGTGCAAGACCAAGACAAAAACCACCATGGTTTTGTCTGACTTTGGCTCTGCAAAAATGACATAAAAGCGTAGTAGAAAGCCTATTTAAAATAGATTTCTTAGGAAAAAGCCCTACCATGCAATTTACCCTGAGTAACACCAGCTTTGGGCTTTTTTTCAGCTCTTTGGGAGGGAGATGTTCTTGACAACTTAAAATTCCCAATTCACGGTGTGGATTTTTAAGAAACTCTCTTCCCTAGCATGAGTGAGCAGAGCTGTGGGGCCATGCCCCGAGGTTCATGCCTTTTGGAGAGCAAGGTCGTGAAACAAGCTAGGTTTGCTGGTGCATGATGGCTTTTACTGCTGATTGGCTCCAGTAGCAGAGCTTACCCTGCTTTGGGAACATGCCACGTCAGTTTGGGGGGCACTCAATCACCCTGCCCTTCTGCAGTTCCTCTGATGGGGAAGTTTAAATATTAAAGGAAAACCCAAATTTGAAACATGTTTTACATTAATCAGAAAAATTGAAGTAATAAATTATTCCATCTCATCAGGAACTGAAAGACAATTTACAGGGTTCCCTTCAAAGATCATCATTAATGATTTGGAAGTTAAGATTCTTAAATACCACGTATGGAAAATTACTCTCAAGCACCTGTAGACCTAATTTTTCCCCCACGTTTGGCATTTCTCACTTAAATTCAGCAACTGGAGGGGCAGGATAAGTGCTTTCATCTCCCATGGGTTTCTCAGCATCACACGTTGTCTGTCGCACTCGTTTTCTGAGCTTGTCCCCTTGCCGAGGACGGAATCACAGGTCCACCCTCCACCAAGGGCCATCACATTTGTATAGGGAGGAAGAATTGTCCCTGTCCTGGCATTTGTAGCGCACAGGGCTGGTTGATTTGATGAGATGTTGATCAGGGCTGATCTGAGCTGTCGATGGCATATTTTGGGGGACACACAGCAGACTGGCAGCTCTCTTACACTCCGTCTTTGCTCGTGGCTGGAGATGTCTCAGCTCAGAGCATGCTCCCAGGGGAGACTGGGGTGAATTCGGGGGCTTTGCAATGAAAAGAACTGCTCAGGCACTGATGGCAAAATGCTGCTTGCCGTGGCTGACCGGCCATGGCAGCAGCAGCGCTGAGAGGACCATGGCTGGCGCCTGTTAAAATTAATTCATTAGTGAATAGACTGCAAAGCTCTGAAAAGTAATTTGTCATGATTCGTCACCCGCACCTTAAAGAAAACTAAGGCACAGACAAAAGCCCTATCCAGCTGGGGTGAGAAGATCATTCTTTTGCCCTTCCTTTGCGTATTGATTTAATTCAATTATTGGACCTGGTATTACAAAGCAGGTCCCTGCACTTGGAGTGGGGGCACAGACTCCATTGTCCAAACCTTTGCAGCAGGGAAGTTTCATATAGACAAGAACTCAGAGCTCTTTTAGTGTTTTCAAACAATCCTATATATATTTTGAAGAAAACCATATTGAGGACTGAGCCAAAGTCATCTCTCTTTCCTGCTGTGAGCTC